GGTATGCTGTTCCTGATCTCGAGCGAAATGGAGTATTTTGCAAAGATGAATGTCATCTTTGGGCAGAGAATGGAATATTTTTAAGCATACATTAACTTATTGTTAGGACTTGTCACAAAGAGCCTGTTGCTCACCTTTTAAAGTAGAAATGAATTCACCCAATGTTCTAAGGTTGAAATGATTTCACTAAGAAAATCTTCCCCACCCTTATCTTTCTGATTATAACATTATGATAATTAATTTAAAATAAACAACACAAAATCTGCCAGAAGTTCAAGACCCATTTTCAAATGATGACTTGAGCTCCTTCCTTATCAAAATTCTACTGAAGTCATAGGAAGGATGTAGATTTAAGATAAAATATGCACCAGAGCTGGAAAACCCAGAAGGCCAGACTTGACAGGTCAGGTGAAAAGGGTTTCTGGAAGACAGGAAGCAGTTTCTGGAAGACAGATGGCATGAAGGTGATCACAGGTGAGTTGAGAGGGGCATGCAGTTTGTCTGCACCATAGTGGGGTTGTCTGCAAAAGGTCATGCATAGGTTCTTCGTGTTTGCTCTTGCTCTCTTTAAGCAATTGGTAATTATTTTATAGTTTGAGATAGAAAAGAATCTGTGATTTATGTTTCACAATTCAGGTAGTAGCTGATTGACTTCCTCATTTAGGGATGCTGGGAGTTTTGAGATGCTGAGATGTGTAGCAGATGCAACCCATGTCCTGCTCACAGGCTCCAGCCAGCACTCACACCTCATGCCATGTCTCTGGCCTGAGGGAGCTGGCTGTGCTCAGGTGGCCGTGTTGCCTTACACTGTCGGGTACCTCTTTGCCCACCAGCCATCAGAGGCTGGAGAATGAAGGGGTAGACAGCAGATCAGCTCCCAGCCCTGCACCCTGAGATGCCAGCACAGCTCCCACCTAGGACTGTGCCTCCCATGGGACAAGCACTTTTGTGGACACCTTTGGGTCATCTTACCTTGCTGCGGGAGGGCCGAGGTATTGGCCCTCATTTTTATTTTTATTCATGAAAATGAGGCTGATGACAGAAAGATCATGGACCTTTTTGTAGAAGGAGCAGCTTGAAACAGGAGACCCAACTGAGCATAAAGAGCAAATGCCAGCATTGCCACGGTGGTAGAATGTTCCAGGCTCTGGAGTCAGATTGCCTGGGTTGGCATCCGGGCTCTGTGCTGTCTGCTTGCATGCAAAGTGTTGGTTATAATAGTTACATGTGCAGAGCTATATAGTCCTTACAGGGTTGCTTGGGATTAAATGAGCTAACGTACACAGTGTTCCCAACAATGTCTGGCACACAGTACAGTCTTGATCAATGTTAGCTGAATGTAAGTGTGCACTGTACTGAAACAACGAGTAAGCGAGGAAGATGATCGCAACCGTGACTGATCCCAGTGAAATCTGAGGAAGACTTCTGTCAACGCAACATAAACAACTGGCAACGAGGAAAGGAGCAAACAGGAAGTAGAGAACGTTCTAAGAAATTCAAGACAATTACTATTATTAATCAATAATAAAATAGACAACGGTTAAAATCACTTTAATGAACAGGAGGATAAATTCAAGGAATTATCCAAGAGATGAACAAAGAGGCAAAGAGATAAAAGAAGAAGAAGCATTTCAGAGAGACCCCAAATATCGTATATCTATATGATAAGAGCTTGAGAAGGAGGGGACAGAGAAAATGGAGGATAATTATCCATCTATCCATCTATCTATCTATATACATACACATATATGTATAATATATATGTATTATATATATATATTATTTATATATATTTAATTTAATTGCTGAGGATATATGCACTTGCCAGAAGGGGACAGACACATACACACACACACACTCACACACACACACACACAGAAAGAGAGAGAGAGAGAGAGAGAGAGAGAGCACTGCCCAGTGAAGTGTGATCACGCTGCAGTTCCCTTCCCCTCTACTTCTCCATACTGTTGGGATTTGTGTCATGCATGCAAACACACTGGCATGTTTTGTAAGCTGCCAGGACTGAGATTTGAACTGTAGTCTCCTATGTGGGGATCTAGCTCCCTTAACTACTAGTCTATGGGACTGGCCCACAAAAAATATTTCTGATTTGCAGAAAAATTTTAGTCTTCAAGATTGGTGACTCTCACTGAATGGCAGACATGACTATTGAAAATAAATCATGGGAAACATAGGAATTTTCAGGATAAAGGAAGAATTCTATAAAGTTTTAGATGAGAGGAAAAAAAACTTTATAAAGGAGAATCAAATTGAACTTCTCAGATATTAGACTTTTCATTTGAAATACTAAATCGTAGTAGCAAAAGGAATACTGTTTACAGAGTTCTGAAGAAAATGAATTGTGGCTCTTCAATTCAATTCGAAGCTGTCTAACCTTCATATGTGAGGGCAGGAGAAACAATGAAAAATTGGTTACTTCAGCAAAGGTAGGAAAGGGAAAAAAGAAAACATCAGAAAAGTATAAAATACTCAGGACAACAAAATAAAATAAGGATGTAAGGTACCCATAATCCGTGGTCGTGATGAATGACCTCACAGAGGACAAACATTGTCACACTGAACAACCCAAAGCAAATGTCAATTACAGGCCGTCATCAACAGACCCACCTATAAGAGAAAGGTTGAACATAAAGGGCCAGTGGATGAGCCACTAAATAAATGCATAACAGCTACCACCTCAAAAACAGGACTGGCCATATTTCTTTCAGAAGAAACTGAAGCTAAGTGAAAAGTGCTTAAAGGAACAAAAGACAACATTCCACGTTGTTACAAGGAGCATCCACAAACGAGATGCAACAATCATAAACTTTTAAGCATTCAGCATAGCTTTGGAATAGATAAAACAACTCTCAGACAAAAAAAGAAAAATAATCTGGGCAAAATAATAGTGGAGACTTTACATAATATTTTTCCCCTCAAAACTAGCAGACTGGAAAGAGCGAAAACTTAAAAGGATATAGTGTACTTATGTAGCATAACAAACAGGTCGAATTGGATAAGTATGTAGTGCAGAAAACTGCAATTGTCAAGCTAATTCTGCATGTTTTTTCTTTCAAATATCCATCTAAAAATAATTATAGGCTACTTAAAAAGGAGTAGAAATGTAAGATCTTATTTTAAATCCTGTGAGATAAATACAAAACTTAATTTAAAAGTATTTTAAATAAAGTACTATTTATTAATAAAACATATATAGCTTCTAGTATAAAGAAAACATTAATAGCATTAAGTCAAGAGACTAAAACAATTTCAAAGAAAATAAGAAGTATTATTATGATAAGACAGAAACAAAGCCTCCCTCCTGTCATTCCAAGGAGCAGTACTGATAAATAAAAACCAAGTTTTGAGTCTTTGTAAAGTCCGATATAATAGACAAACCTTTAAAAATTATTTAAAAAAAGAGAGAAAAATACCAATGCACTACATTAGAAATAAAAGTATAAATACTGGAAGGACTTTTTATTATTATTTTTTGATTTTGGAGAGCTTTTTGCTATAGGGTGTGTGTACTCACAGGAGAGAGAGAAGAGATGGAGAGATAGAAAGTGAAAAATCACCCTCAGGGGGGTGGTTGTGCTGCAATCCCTTCTCCATTCTCTTCTTGGGATTTTGGGTATGCATACACATGCACCTGGCTTGAGTTTCAAGCTGCTATTCCAGGACTCGAACAGCAGTCAGACATATGGGAGTCCAGCACCTTAACCACTACACCACCTATTGTCTCCTTTTCATTATTTTTAAAAATTTGCCAGAGAGTGTGTATGCTTGTTGGAAGGAGACAGAGAGGAAGACTGAGAAAGTAGCTTTTACAGGGCATGGTCATGCTGCAATTCCTTCTCCTTCATTTCTCCCTTCTTTTGCAATTTTGGGCACACATGCACATGTGCATAGAGTGTTTTTTAAGCCACAGGTCTGGGGTTCAAACCATGTGGTTGGCCATGTGGGATCCAGTCACCTTCACCACCAGGCCATGGGTTGGCCTAGGTTTTTTTAAATGATAGGAATATACTGCATACAAGTTTATTGGGGGAAAATAAAAAGAAAAAAAGAAACCACCAACAAACCCCACAAAAAAGAAAACCAAAACTGATCATTGAGATGAATAAATGCTCTTCATATAATTGATCAGAATTGACTCAGGAAGTGGTAGAAACCTGAAGAGATGTAATATTTTAAAGAAATTGAAACATCAAAGTTATGCCTCCCAAGAGGACCCAGACCAGCCACTTTTTAAAGTGAGTTATTTTGAACTTTGAGGAGTATGTAATTTTTTGCTATTTACACTGTTAACAAGCCCAAGAAAACATAAAATTTCCAGTTTCCATTTTACAGGCTTAACAATTCCTGAGAAAAAGATTGCCAGAAAAGGAAACTGCAGCCATTCTCTCTTAGAAATATAGGTTTTTAAAGCTCTAAATAGAATATCAACAAATTGAATCCAGAGTATAATAAAAGACAATCTCACGGCAAAATAAAATTTAATCTAGCAATTATGGAATGCTTATGTATTAAAAAAATCTATTACTATAATATATTTTATTAAATTAATTGGTTGGCAAAAAGAAAACAGTATGATCATGTGGATAAATGTTTCAAGTATGGTTGATTTATTTAACAAAATTTTAATTTCTAATAAGTACTCTATATAAATTAGAATAATAAAAAATGTTTTGAAACATAATAAGGGGTATTTGTTAGAAACCAAATGACATAAAGCAAAACAGAAGCACTCATTAAAATCATGAATAAGACAAGGATGTGCACACTGACAGTGATTATTCATTTCTCTGGGGGTTGTAGACAAAACAATGACAAGGAAAATGTACGAGATATAAACATTGTAAAAGACATATAAAATGATTATTATTTATACTTTACATGAGTCGTTACTAGAAAATTCAAGAGAATTACTTCACAGACCACAAAAATTAAAAAGAATCCAGCAAGCAGAAGAAAAACAAACATTTAAAAACTTCACAGTGCTCGTTTTGACAGCACATGTGCTAAAGTTGGAATGATACAGAGAAGATTAGCATAACCTTTGGCTAAGGATGACATTCAAATTCATGAAGCATATATATTTGTAACTGTCAAAGGTCAGAAACAAAGAGAAAAATGTAAAAGCATCGAAAGTGTCAAGCCATACTTGAAGAAGTTCACATTAGACCAACAGCAGATTTCTCAGAGAAACCCTACAGAATAGAATAGGATGGGGCCGGCAGGTGGCATGGTGGTTAAGGGCACTGGACTCCCACATGGCCGACCATGGTTTGAGTCCTGGTCCTGGTGGCTTGGTTTTTCACTTTCCCTCTCTTCAATCAGGGTAAAAACAAGGTTAATTATTTTCTTGCTAGTTGGTGTAGATGATCTGCTATTGCAGGTTTCAATTTCAACATTGTCTCATCCCATCTCTTTTTTAAAGATGAAGGACTTCAAAAAGTTTTTTTTTCTATTTTCCTATTATTATTATTTATATTGTCAATCACTATACATAATTTAGATTGTAAAGTGACTTGACCCAGCATGATATACACCTCAGTCCAGCCCAGTTGAGAATACAATACACATCTTCATCAACAGATAATAAACTAATATCTGTGTCCTACAAATGTTTTCCCTTTCAATTTTTTTCCCCAAATTTCCTTTCCTACACTATTCCCCTCTCCCACTCTCCTTTTACTTTGTCTCTAGTGTCCATAACAATTTTCAATGCTTTTATGCCTTCCAGTCTCTATCAGAGTGTGGACAGTCGGTATATGTTAAGTGGAGACATACAATGTCTCTGTTTCATAGCCTGACTTGCTTCACTCAGCAATCAATCTTCCATATTCGCTCACTTTCTATCAAATGCCAGGGTTTTGTTGCTTTTTAAGGCTGAATAGTATTCCATGGAGTGTATGTGCCACACTTTTTCAATCCATTCATCTGTTTGTGAACATTTGGGTTGGTTCTATGTCTTAATAATCATGAATAATGCTGCAATAAATATTGATGTGCAAGTGCTTTTTCAACTGAGTGATTTCCTGTCCTTTGGGTAGATACCCAGGAGTGGAATTGCTGGATCGTATGGTAGTTCTATTTGAAAGTCTTTGAGGAACTTCCATATTGTTCTCCACAGTGGTTACACCAATTTGCATTCCCACTAACTATGTAGGAGAGTTCCCCTTTCACTACAGTCACTCCAGAACTTGTCCTTTTTTTTTTTTTTTTTTTTTTTTTTTTTGTCATTCTGACTGGGGTTAGGTGGTATCTCATTGTGATTTTGATCTGCATCTCTCTTAAAAGAATGTTGAGCATTTTTTCATATGCTTTTTGGCTGTTCATATGTCTTCCTTAGAGAGCTGTTTGTTTAATTCATTTACCCATTTTTTAATTGGATTAATCATTTTGTTTCAGGTAAGCCACTTGAGTTCCCTGTGTATTCTAGTTATCAATTCCTTTAGCTCAGGCATAGTTTACAAAAATTTTCTTCCATTTCAAGGGTTGTCAACTCACACTAATTACTGTGTCCTTTGCTGTGCAGAAACTTCTTAATCTGATGTAATCCAACTTTTCTATTTTATTGCCTGTGCTTTGGGAGTCTTTCTAAAGAAGTCTTTGTCTACTTCAATGTCTCCCAGAGTTTCCCCAGTGTTTTCCACCAGTAATTTTATAGTTTGAGGTCTTAGGTTTAGGTCTTTGGTCCACTTTGAGTTGATATTTGTTAATGTGACAGATAGAAGTTCAGATTCATCTTTCTGTAGATGGATACCCAGTTTTTCCAACATCATTTGCTAAAGTTTTCCTTTTCTCACTGGATTGACTGATACCCTTTGTAAAAGATCAGTTGGCTGTATATTTTGGGATTTATTTCTGTGTTCTCTGTTCCATTGGTCCTTGTGTCTGTTTTTGTGCCAATACCATCTTGTTTGATTATCACAGGTTTGTATTATATTTTGGGATCAGGAAGTGAGATGCCAACCACTCCATTCTTTTTATGTAGGATTGCTTTGGCAATATGGGGTCTTTTATGGTTCCAGATGAATTCTTTGATTGTCTTTTCTAGATCTGTAAAGAATGTCTCTTGTAATTGTATAGGGATTGCATTAAACATATAGATTAATTTGGGTAGGATTGCCTTATTATATTAATTCTCACAAACCAGGAACATGGGATGTCCTTCCACTTCTTTGGGTCATTTTCAATTTGTTTTTTTTAGATTTTCGTGGTTTTCCTTATAGAGGTCTTTGACTTCCTTGGTTAGTTTTATTCCTAAGTATCTTACACTTTTTGTGGCTATAGTAAATGGGATTACTTTCTTCAGTTCTTCCTCTGTCTGCTTATTGTTTGTATATAGAAATGCTGTAGATTTTTCAAGTTAATTTGTATCCTGCCACTTTACTGTATGCATTTATTACTTCAAGAAGTTTTATTGTGAATATTATTGGATCTTCTATGTATACAATATAAAGTTTATTTTTTGAGTGAGCAAGAAAGCGAGAGAAGCACCCTCATGTGGGCTCCACACCTCAACCCCATTGAGCCTTCCTAGCCAGCCAGGACTTTGGACACACATACCCATCATGTACAGGTTGACTGAATAATTGAACTTGTGATTTTTCCCTGTGGATTCAGTATTGTTTGAGCAGTGTATCATCACTTTGCCACCAAGTTGGCTCATTTTGTCCTTTCTTAAAATGACTTACTCATTTGTAAACTACTGATGCCCCATATACTTTTCATAAATTAGCAATGATTTCACCATTCTTCCACCCAAGCTTCATCGTATAACTGATGTTATTTCTCCAATTTTAGAAAGATTTATGATGTTCCAAGAGGGACTCTTTTCAAACTGATGTTTTATACTTCTTAATTCCTCAAACTAGATACTGTTTAGATGTGTTATAACACATCAGTATGAGTTTAGTTTGGTGCAAAAAAAATTTGAAATTCATACATAGTTTTTTCATAATGTGAATTTTACACGAACTTTTTGAAGACTCCTTTGTATGCCGAATTGACAGAATGAAAGACAAAAGCCATACGATCATCTCAATAGGTACAGACAAAAGCACTTGATAAAATACAGTAGTCCCTCATGAGTAAAATCTCTTAACAAAATAACTGTGGAAGGCACATGCCTCAACATAATAAAGACCATATATGACAAACCCACAGCTAACATCATAGGGAATGGGGAAAAGTTGAAAGTGTTTTCTTTAAGAACTGGAGCAAGACAAGGATGTCTATTTTCCCACTATTACTTAACATAGTCCTGGAAACACTAGCCAGAGCAATTAGAAAAGAGAAAGAAATAAAGGGCTCCCGGATAGTAAAAAGAGTGTCAATTTGTTCATTGTCAGATTATGCATTATCCAAAAACTTGTAGAACTGATAAACAAATTTAGTAAAGTTGTAGGACACAAAATTGACATACAAAAAAATCATACCATTTTTATATACCAATGACAAGCTGACGGAAGAGAAATAAAGGCAGTCTATTTACAATACTTACCAAAACATAAAAATAAAAATATTAAGGAATAAAATGAACTAAGGAGGTAAAAGATCTCTAAAATGAAAACTGTAAAACACTGGTTGAAGATATAGAAGAACACATACAAAAATGAAAAGATAGATGTTCATAGATTGGAAAAATTAATATAAATTTAAAATATAAAATTAATAACAGTACCAAAAGCAACTTATTTTCAATGCATTCTCTATCAAAATAACAATGATATTCTTCTTGTTTGGAATACAGATGTGACAGTGGAGTTTAGAAATCACATGTTCAGAATGACAGAGCCAAGAAATAAAATATTCTGGGTTCCTGAAACTGTCATTTCAGCTCTACACTGCCTGTCTGCCGATTCCCTTTATATGGGAAAATAAAACAATTATCTATTTATGCTGCTGTGATTGAATACTACTGGCAACCAAACAAAATTTCTAACTGATAAAGATCTATATCTCAAAAAGTACCTTTATTATAAAAGTGTCACTATTGCTATGAAGACACTATAGAAACATTTACCAAAATTATAAATGTATCTACTCTTTGACATAACCATTCCATTTCTATTTATTCTACAGTAATACAAGGGCACTTCAAAAGTTCATGGAAGATTGAATTAAAATACAAATTTATTTTGGTACAAAATTTTTTGAAATCCATGCATAGTTTAAAAAAATATACATTTTCCACAGATTTTTTTTGCAGACCCCCTTATTCTTGTGTATGTAGAAAATAATACATGTAATACCGTGTTGTAAGGAAAGATTGGTAGCAAACCAAATGTTAATCATATTTTTAATCAGTATCATTCATACTGATTAAAATGATTAATTTATACAGTAAACATCATTTATCTATAAAAATGTCAAGAAAACTGCTCATTATGGAATTAGTATGAGGAAAGTGCCTAAAGACAGTTGCACAATGTAGCTTATATTGTACTACCATCTGTTTAAAAAGGATGGGGGGGGTAATATATAATATGTATCTATATTTTGCATATACATAGAGAAGCACAGGAAAACTGTACAAGACATTAATAATAGTGACAATTTAAAGTAGAAAGGGTGAAAATGGGCAATTGGAGAGTTAAAAAAATACTATATATTTAGAGACAGTAGGTGGTGTGTTGTTTAAAGCTCTGGATCCCACATGCCCAACGCTTCAGTTGAGTCCTGGTCCTGTGACTTGAAAACATGCTGGGCATGAGTGTTCAGAATCCTGAGAGGAGAATGGAGGTGAGGGGACTGCGGTGTGTGGCCATCCTCTCTGGGCTGTGCTTTCTCACTTTCCTTCTCTGTCTCTCTCTAGCAAGTTCACGCACCCTATGGCAAAAATACAAAAAGAAAGAAAGAAAGAAAGAAAGAAAGAAAGAAAGAAAGAAAGAAAGAAAGAAAGAAAGAAAGAAAGAAAGATCTTTGTATATAACGTTTATCCAGGTAATGTATGTACATACATTACCTATTCAAAGGCTTTAATTTAAGGAGGTAATATATCCTATATATCCTATGGAATAACAAACAGAACTGGGTTCTACTATCTCTTGATAGTGTGATCAAGGCAAGTCATTTAACCTCTGAGAGTTTTAA